GGGAGAAAAACAAAAACCATTGTCATCTCATTCAAAAGTGTCTCTTAGTTAAAGGTTATTAGAGGGGGAAAAATTTCTCGCATTATACATATCCCCATGTATAAAGTCATAAAAAACTTAAACAACCTATTACAACAACTTATTGCTTTCAGAAAAAAACAGTAACAGAATGACTACAAGGGAAAATCAAAGAAAAGAATATTAAATCAAAATGTAAAAAAGTGGGTTTTCAAAACTTTGTCGGGCGTGCCCACAAACTTTCTGGATAGTTCCATAGATGAAAAAATTTGGGAGCCGAATGAAATTTTCTCGCTTGGATAATTTCCTTGATAGCTCTAAAAGAAAAACTTGTTCTGGTTAGGGTGATTTAGGTTTAAATTACAATAGTTCCAAGTCATATATAACTTTTTTTAAAGTACTGTTTTTTTTTTTTTTTTTGAGTATATGTGGCTTACTCATAATGTTTGCAACCACAAGAAGCAGGCTTCAGGGGTACTACAAAGTATATATGTTCTTCACCATCATGAAATTCTGGATCGATTAAGCCATGTCTGCTCGTTTGTGAGTTGTGTGTTGTCGACACTCTCCTAGTCGCAAAAATGAAGCTATCGACTTCAAATTTGGCAGAAACATCGCAAGATCCTGCACGAAAGTTTGTATTAAAAATGAGCCAAATTAGTCGTAGAACTCGCCTACAATAGTAATTAAAGTGATAACTCCTAGAGTTTCGAAAGCAGAAAGTGACTTGTCGGCCATTCCCCCAAACTTTTTTCGATGTTTTTTTAGATAAAAAAGTTCGGGAATCGAATGAAACTTTTTCGCTTGTTTTCAGTATCGTTTCATATTTGCATAGGCCTGGCCTGCTAGTCGCAAATAAATTGAAACCCCATATCCCGTTGGCGTTGACTACAATGCAAAAACCAGAAAAAGTCGTCCGCGCTCGCCCAATATTATCAAGTATTAATTTCCTTTTATTAATTCCTTTTTAGGATAATGGTGATGGGTATAAAGGATTCGGCCACGACCGAATATAATTTTCTTACTTGTTGATTTTATTACTTTTTGCACTTTCTACTTGGATGCATTACATAGACATCAAATTGTACTTGATATTTTTTCACTTGATCATACCAATATTTCGAAATTACTATGATATGTCAAGACCGATTGCGCACGCAAAACAAAAAATTATGCTCGGAAGAGTAAATAATGCTTCTTTATGCTTAATCTACTCCAAAAAACATCGATACACAGTTTTTTCGCGCTTTTTCATTCTTTATGAATCGTTTGCTTTTAGCTGAAAAGAAACATTTAAAAAATGCGCATGTTTTGCGACTCCACAACAACAATACGAACGTATATAGGCGTTGCAGGTTCAACACGTGATCTGCGTGGTTCAAGACAACAGGTTACAAAGTCTGCGGTTATCATAACATGGGTCTGATATTTGTTCAAATGCTTTTGGCTTTTATTTGTAATTTATCTTGGAACTAATGTATTATATAACAATTGTTTTTCTCTGGACTAAGCCATTAAGAAGTGCGGTTTACATGTCCAGTTGGTCAATATAACAATTAAACCACCACGAGTGAATCTTGTTAACGCTATTAGCCCTTCGAAGTATCGAAAATAATAATTTCCTCTTCGCAACATTTTGGAATTTTCCTCGTTAATAAGATTGCGTAGTCCTTACGTTCATCAATTGTGACAAGTACAGTCGCCGACAGCTACAAACTGATTCATGAGTTCCTTTTTGAAAAGTGGCAATAGGCGCTCATTTTTTGGAAATGAAATTGGTAAAGCTTTTACTTGCTTTGTTTAGAAGGTAAATAACGAAAAATGGAAAAAAGGGTACATCGTGAATAACAACCTCCTTTTGGAAGTTCATAATTTCATAATAATTATAGCCTACACCACCTGTGGTAGAGGGGTATATTAAGTTCGTGCATATGTATACAATACGCAGAAGCATTTAAGTAAGATCCAATTTTTATTAAGCCTTCGATTCAGAATCCCTTTTTGAATCCATCGTAACTTGTCTGTCCCACTTGTTTTTTGGGCTCAACCCACAGGCCGTAAATTTGAAATATTTTGATGAAATTTGGTATACGGCATATGTTTTGAAAGGTCGTTATAGCTGCATCGTAGTATAGAATATTTAATGGTGGTTTGCGACACACTACAGTGTTCTTATTTGTTTTAATTTGCGGTATATTGTAACACTTATACTAAACGTAGTTTTGAGCGCAAATTTAGATAACGGCTGACAAGATCAAAATATGAAAATTCAAACGAAAATTTGCTCATTACCCAGACAGAGTTACAAGATCGAAACAGACATATATGTGTAATTGCGTCAGATAACTTTACTAATAAAGGAGAAATAACCAGGAGGAGTTTCAACCAACTTTGAGAAAAAGAAATTAATTACCTGTAATTTTTGACGAAAATGATGATGAAAATTAATTTTATGATCCTAATTATTACGTTTTGAATGTATTTCTGCTTGCATTTTTAATTTTTATATTTCATCATAAAGTTGAATTTCACATTTTTCGATAGAACATGGTACATATTGCCCGGATTTATGTTACTTCAAAGCAGTTTGACATAACACAAAACAAATTTCGACACAATACGGTACATATTACCCAGATTTATATTATATTTAAGTTTAAATTGTATTCTACGTTCTACGTTATATCTTATATCTTAGTTTAAATAAATAAGAAATACTGCGTAGTAATAGTTGCAATAGTTTAGTCATAATACTTAGCGTAACAAATATTTCTAAGAATCAATTAAGTGAATACGGCTTTTAATTTGTTTTAGCTGAATTTAGGGTGAAAATAAATGAATAAATAAATAAAACACGTAGGAACATTATACCCGAACAAGGCAGCTGTTAGACACCCCACATCACTTCCCCTAATGAATTTATTCAGTCGCTGTGATAATAATACACCATAGGTACACATTACTTCCATGCAAAGACCTACTTTGTGGTGGTATCCAAAAATAGACCGATGTGATCCAAATTCGATATAGCAGATTTCCATATCAGTTTAGTATTACGATCTAATTTTCATCTTCAAATATTTAATATTATGTCTACTCAATAGATAAAGGTTCAGTTTCGTAGGAATGGTTATATGAGAGAAGGTTTAAAAAACGGCCACAATCGAACCAAATTTTTGATACCAATTTGGAATGTCCAAGCACTGTTATAGGGCGAGTTTTGTCGAGAAACTTTGAAAATTGTAAGTTTTTCCTTCTACCGACTTTTCAACATAAGGTGTTGTACGCCGCACAAGTTGGCTTAGACAGATATGAGATGAATAGACATACAGACGGGGCGAGGCACAGGCAGGTAACAAAAGAAGGGACCGCCATAAGATCTTCTGCGTGTTTCGTAGGTGCACACAAAATTGCTATATTACAACTGGTGTAGGGTATATCAAGTGGTGTAGGGTATAACAAGTGAAAACACTATAACGGGCCGAAACCCACACTGTCCCGCAGTTCTGCATGCAACGATTTTCCAAGATAAGGATTAGGTACGAGGTGTCCTAAACCCCACTCTGATTGGAACCATTTTCAATAAGATTAGTCCTTAGATCAAAACACATCAGTGTACCAAATTTTATCAAAATGCCTCGCCTGTGGCTTGAAGACAAAAAACAAAAAACAAAGAAGTACAGGCGGACAGATAATTTTAAATCGATTCAGAAAGTGATTTTAAATGTAATAAAATTTAAGTCTATGCCAAGTTCTTTCGTGTATCACATAAGTGTTGCAGGCTATAACACAATAATTCCATATTGAGAAGTTTCACTTTTATTATAAAAACAATTATCGTAAATTCGATTTATCAAAAAAAAAAAGAAGAAAACACATACATATAGATAAATATATACCTTTATCTATCTGCAGAAATCTTTAATAGAGTTAAACAAAATTTTATTTATGATGTCATACCCCACAGCAGCCCTAATTAGGAAAAGTCAAAGTTTTCATGAAAAACATGTTTATTAACACATGTCACTGGAAATGACAACATCATCATTATTATTAAAACTACAGTTATATATACGTATACATGTATACACACATGTATACGTATGTATGTATGTATGTAGTTAGTTGTTATCATCGGCAGATGCCATGACATGAAATACAAAAGGGGCAATCATACCGTTAACTGCAAAGAGATAACAGTATCTACATCTATTTGCAAAGAGTATAAGTGTTTGCGTTTGTGCATATGTTGGCTAGTGTAGTAGCACGTCAAATTTTAAAGGCATTACCGTTTTGTACGCTAACAAAAAGATGTTCCAGCTTGAAATATATAAGCAGTTACACAAGCCGTAATTATTGCTTGCTATCTAAACAGGTCGTTAGAAAAATTTTCGATTTTTCTATTACAAATTTTTGTCGTTTTTGTTATTTTTTGTTTTCGGGAAAAATTATTTTTCGTGTCACATAAGTTACACAGAGAAAACATGCAAACTAAAGCAACACCATGTTTATGTGTGACTTTATTGCATCCGCAAGTCATACACTTGAAGTGAACTAATAGGTGAACGGTGCTAACCAAATTGCGTTTACATGTAAATCTATTAACTATGACTTAATTTAGGGCTTGAGAAAATGTCTTTGGGTAACAATTGAAATAGATTGTGGTCTTTAATATTCCGTCAGTAAAATTTATTTGCCATCAATTGTCATAGATTGATCTTTTCAATCGATCAATCTTCTCTTAACATTTCGATTTTTGTTTTGTTTTTTTTAATATTATGTTATGCAAATATCTTACGTGGTTTCTAACTTAAAGATTTTTGAATGTTTTCAATAAATTTTAAACACATTTGTTACAAAATTATTTATGTGTTCAGGAAAACTAAGTTCGCAAATGTATTGTTATTGCTTTCTCATAGTTTGTCTACCTCTCTCTTTCGCTATTCATTTTTCTATATCTCCATCGCTCTTTATTTGTACAGAGTGAAAATGCTATCGGAGCTTATCGTACGTTTGACAAGACCTCTTTTTCTTGTACAGGACGCCCTGCCGGCTACTATGCAGACATTGAAACTGGTTGCCAGGTATGGTACACAGATAATTTTTCTTCCACAAGCCGCTTCACTATAATCATACACTTTGACATTTTTCTTACTACTATTAAATAAATGTCTATTGTGTTGAAGATCTATCACATGTGCGATGGCTTAGGACGTCAATTCAGTTACTCTTGCCCAAATACCACATTATTTCAACAACGCATGTTGATTTGTGATCACTGGTATATGGTAAATTGTTCAAAGGCTGAAAGTGATTACGCTGCAAATTTATTGATAGGTAAGTTCAAAGAAGGTATGAACAAAATGAATCAAACCGCTAAGAAAAACAATTCGCTTTCCGTTTAATACAATCAATGAATTGATTAATAGGAAATTTTTTTACGTCTAAAAGTATGCATTACATTTTTGCAGGTCAACGCGACAAACCATTTGTAAACGATGAAGAAGAAAACATACGCACACCTCGGCCTGATTTATTAGATCGTCCTTACGCTCCAGACTATTCAGGTGAATCCTTTCGCACTCAATATCAAAAGGTAAAGCAATTAAATATAGATAACAAAAATAAAAATTTAGTCACTCCCCCCATTTGTACTTTTCACTGTCCATATAGCCTTTACTGAATGCAATTTTTGATCAAGATGACGAGAAACATCGGTCAAAGTCGCCGACACAAGTGGAGAGTCAACGTAATTTTGGACAGCGTTGGAAAATTCCACCTCCCAGTCGGATTATTCTACCGCCAGCTTATGAGGCTCAAATTACGGAGAAGGATAAAAATTTTCGTCCTAAATTAAATCTTGTAACAACAACGACAGCAACAAAAAAGCCTTCGACCGTAGTAGGACCTCCGACCATAAAACATCTACCTGGTATAAGGTTTAGCCAAGGGGCAGCAGCTCTCCATCAGCGTCAAGATGAACATATACAATATGACAATGATGATTTGGGTACCAGTCATAGTACACGTTACAATACTTCGTTTGATCTGAATTCGGCTGAGGATAATCGTCAAACAAAGATTGGTAAAAATTCATATAACGGTAAAGCACTGCATAAAAATGAACAAAGGACAACAATAGGAACTACAACTTCACGACCTATTACTACAAAATCTAATGTTTTTATTAGCGTTAAGAAACCATCGAAGATATATCAACCTCCTCTCCTTTATCCCATCTATAATTTGGAGGATACTACGACGATCAATAAAACAAGACCAACAATAAGAGGTTCAACTTCGGCACCATTTAGCACACGTAGCTCTACATTTGCCAGCACTTCTACCTTGCGGCCTACTACAAAGCCTACAACTTTGGCTGGAAAACCCTTTACTAAAATATCTAGCAACAATACATTTGTTACTGCATCTTTCGACTTTGCTGAAGAATCTAATAATTTACACCAACAATTTTTGGACGTTAATAAACTAAGTAAAGATATACGCACAGCTGCTCCAGCGCAAGGTTTTAAAGCTCCAACCACACCTAAGCCTTTCTCTAGCACTACTAGTGCTATAGAAACTCCAGCGAAGACATTGTTACCACCTTTTACCGATTTTATACAGCACGATGTCGCCACTACGCAAGGTCCGCCTATATATTATGAATGGAAGATTCCTTCGGATGGTTTAGAGCCACCAAAACTGGATCCTCCCATAGGAGTGGATGGCCGAGAATACCCAGACAGTGCAATTGATTACAATGTTCTTAATAGCAAAAACAAAGAGATGAACACGAGTCTTACCACAACACGGCCTAGCTTTTTGCAAACGATCAAAGAAACATCTAGCCAAACGAATGAGATTGCAACGCAACAGAAGGCGGCAGCCTCTGTTAAAACACCTACAGCGCAACTGCCACCCGCACCGTCAGCACCAACTAATGTTAAGGCTGACATTTCAGAGATACGTAAGGAATGGTCAGTGCCAGAGTATGCGTTTCCTTTAGAAAATGCCGGTCGAACCGGCTATTTGTCCAGCGATGTTTATAATTCATTTCAATTAAAAATACCCGACGGTCATAACGTAGCCGACGAGCATTTGCATTGGTTCGGAGAAAATCCTGATTGTCCACAATGTCATCCTTCCTATGTTATACCTGGCACTTGCCAACCATGTCTACGAAGATAGGATATAATTGCTGTATGTAGATTACAAGTGTTAAATCCTACAAGAGACCATAAATATTCTTAACATAACGTTCAAGCATTTGATTGAAAACGATCTTCAAAAGATCTTTCAATAGTTTTACATTTCACACACATTCTAACTTATTCTTTTTCACCCAAAAAGTCCATCCATATTCATTCCATCCATATATATATATATATATATATATATAAACATATAGTTTCTAATTTAGTTAAACATGTATACAAAAAAAACCGACTTTACTTGTACTGCTAAACGGATGATATAACAATAGTAAAGAGAGATTGTTAAAAAAATATATATATATACATGTATATTTCTTTTTGTTCACGATTAGTATAAATTATTCAGTAGATTTCATTTGAAAAAATTGATATATTTGTATTTTATGTCTAAATCATATATAAGATAAATTTATAATTTAATGATGACGAGTAATATCATTTCAATAAAAATAATAATATTTAAGAGAATTGTCATATGCAATACCTAAACTAAATTGTGAAGGAAGACATCAAATCCAAAAAATAAGCAAAAAGTTGAGAGCCGTGAATATTAATATCGTTCTCTTGGTTATTGATGAAAGCAAGTAAGCAAATCCATGAAAATAAAAAAAAAATAAAAGAAATAGAGAACTAAACCATTTTTACTAAATATGAGCATATTTCGTTTAGTTAATTATTAGTGCTTGCATATATTTTGTTTCTTTTGTTGATGACATTGGGATTATTAGCCCCGATTGCTGGTGTTTTTTTGCAACTATACATCGTTCAATTCGGTCAACTGACATCGGTAGACGTCCAAAGGAACAGTTTCATCTAGTTTTAGCAGCTCGTAATACACTACACTTTACTGAATCCGCCATATGCACAGCGCCACTGAATGGCCATGAATATTTCTCTTTGGTGTCGATGTGGATGGTTATCCTCTCTAACTAGAACATGATTTCGTGCACTTGGGATCGTCGCGGCAGATCCACTTTTCATAGCCAGAAAGTCATAGAAAATCATTCCTTTTTTTGCCTGTCGATGTTGAAACGGTTCGAAACGGCCTTTTCAGTTAATTTGTATGGTAGCCATTTCCTCCCCTTTTGGGGTTTTCCCATTATACACGTACAAGTTTAAAACAGTTGATTCATTAATTGCCAACTTGTTCGAAAATTCTTTGAGAGTTTGAGCTGGGTTTTCATCAAATAAGTTTTGGGATTCATTGTCTTCGAACATTTTTGGTCCTCATGGCCGTTGTTTGCATTGAAATCAAGTCCAACAACTAGAACGTGATGAGCAAACGTAAAAGTGTGTAATGGGCTTCGGCAGCAGATTTCTTCAAAACTGCTAACTATTAACACTGCAAATGCAATTTTGAACGTTCCATGATTAGCGTCTGTATGCACTGAATACCTCAATAATACTAAATGGAAAACTCATTCATTTCATGTTGAGAAAGGTCAAAACCAACGAATGTAACTATTGTTTACACTGATACTTCGCATTACTTTATCATTTCTTTCAATAGATGCCGCTGATCAAAATGCCTGCACATACCTAGTAAAACATAATTGTGAACAACATTTTGTTATAAAGCAAAAATATTTAGAATTGTCAACCTATTTACTGTAAGAACAAGCGTAACTCAAGTAAATAAAAATGCTAATAAACTTCATTTATCTTCGGTTGGTAATTAACTGTCTTATTCCGGAATGCTTCAAAACCGAATACTTTTGCGCGTAATGATATTACAAAAGAGTTTGTAAAAGATAAAGACTTTTAGCAATATTTTAGTTCAGTCAATAACCATTAATAGGTACTTATCAGGAGTACGAAAAGTCGAGGTAAATCGGTCTGCCCTTACTTGAGAGTGTTTTGAAGACCGTAAAAGATCACACAAAAGTGCCTAATAATGGTTCCTTTTTTTTGTAAATAAGATAAATGGTCCACTCATGACAATATTTGGGAATTGTGTACCGTAAACTATATCAAACTTCCTACAGAAACTATCAATGTTAGTCCTCCATATAATTATAGAAACATTCCTTTCGGCTATCCGAATACATATTGAGTTATGTTCGCATCTTTGACCGATGTTGCAAAATTTGTTACAAAGGCATCTCAATTGTGTGATTGTTTTACTTTTCATGGTCCTTGACCAAATATTTTATTTAACAATGGTTGTTATTTTTGCTTTAATAGAAAACAAAAGTACGGAAATAACATAGAATAAAAAATATCTGTCTTTCTTTCTGTAATATTTTTAGCTCGAAGTTCGTAAGCCAAGTATATTATCTAAAATTGAAATAGGAAACAAAACGAAAAGTCCTGTTTTCAAAGGACAATATCATGGTATGAGTCCTGTCTGTTTAATTGTAGAAATCGTTTATTTAAAAATTTCCATCAACCGGAACTATCAAAACTAATTAAATGTATATATATTAATTTTGAATTCATAATATTTTAAATTACAATAATGTCTATTTTCAAGGCCATCTACTATAACACTAATTGGATTACAAAGCCTTATATAATTTGTCGGCGAAATTTTTTGCTGGCAATAAGAACGTCGGAAAATTAATTGCAAAAGCTTTTCAAAATTTCTTGATAGCCTGTAGATTTGATAGATTGAAAGGGGCTGTACTCACTTTGGCGTAATGTTTGCAAACCGCGGAAGGAAGCTTGATTAAGCCATGCCTGCCATCGACTTCAAACTTGGCAAAAACATTGAAAGTTCTTGCGCCCAAGTTGATATTGAAAATGGGCCAAACCGGTCGAAGGCCATACTCAAATAAACACGTGAACTGAAAACATCTCTGTCTTTTCAACGATATGAAAAACTGATTTTTTTGCGTATTATTCATAAACTACAACACATACGTCTATGAAAATCCGAACATGCATTTAGCCCTAGGAGAGGACATTAGACAGACAGATAGACGTCCAGGAGGAGACATTTTTAAATCGGTTTAGAATTTGATACCGTGGCATTTTTGAAGTTTTCTTTTGGGTGCTTCAAACATTTTGTATATATATATACTTTCTATCCTTTGTTTAAGGTTTTGAAAATACTAACGTTCATGTCAGTGGCTATGGCAGTTCCACAAAAAAGTGGGGTTAACTAATCCATTTTGGTAGAAATAGTTGCTCGTTTTGGGTATTCGGGAATGTCAATAGGCAGAAAAAATCGAAACAGATATTTAAAAAGTCTTCACAAAATATTGCATATTTTGTAAACATTTTCCTAAAACCCAAAAGATGAAATGAATCAATTTCACGTTCTCGACAATTTTACTGCTGATAGAAAATCTTCTTCATATCTGCTTTAACAAGCTAGGTCATACCCACAAACTGCGTCTGCTGGATAAATTAAATTAGAAATTTTCCTTTTTTGGAAAAAAAGTCACTATTTAACGATCGCCTTGTTCAATAGATGCCTCAGTTTTGACTTACCCATAAAATTTTTTATGAAGGAAATTGAGTTCTACAACAAATTGATAGCAATTCGATATGAAATTTCGTATTTCTTTCTTTAACTTCCACTAACGAAATTAGATTTCGCCGTGTAGAATGAGCGTACTTAGTATGGTCTCCTCTTTACCATTGATGAGATTAATGACATCGAAAAGACGTTGAACACCGATCACTACATGATGATTCTCCTTCAATTAACTAGATAAGCTCAAATCAGTACTTCCAGTATTTGACTTTTTGTCTTAAACATCTATATATAAATATGAGTTTAGCACTGTAGTGGTCCAAATACCAAATCCCCACTCGAGTAGATAAGAACCGCGACTAACACGTCAGTATTCACGGATTGAGATCTCAGTGCGGTAGAGTTTACGTTGCTCGTAGATACAATGAGCTGTCGGTAAGGGCATGAGACCACTTACCCATTGGACACACTACTAGACTGCGGCCACCTCCCTATGTATTTCTTTTTGTTCACTTCTTCTTTTTTCTAACCGCCACCGTGTTACACTCGCTTGGTCATTTAAAAAAGAAGAGATTGATAAGAGTAACATGCAACAGACAGTTATTTGTATGTTTTTGCAGATATGTTAAGCTTAAATAACGTTGGTCAGTTCAAGATTCATATCGACGTATAAAAGCATTGGTACTTTATTATCACTTGACGTAGTTGTAGTTTAAGTTTCTGATATTAATGATTTCTGATATCAATAATCTGTCACTACATACATACGTACAAAAATCCATTGAACTTAAAGCAAACTTTTAACTTTATTTAACAGGTTTTTGTTTTCTTTTTGTTTTTCATTTCAATTAAACGTTAAAAAAATTCTTTTACATATATGCAAAAAAATGCTTCTTTACAAGTTCATAATTTATGCTAAATACGTTAGTATACGTATTGTCTCGAGTTTATATCCTCCTTTCCAGCAGAAAAACAGAAAGCTTTTAAAAAAAATAATTCAGAATTTTTAATAAAAAGAATATAAAATCATTTCATGTTTAAATATCTCTAAAATTTGTTAAGGCACTTTTGAAATTTGATGATTTAATATTAGTTTTTTAAATTTAGTTTTTAGTATTGGTTTATTTAAAAATAATTTTTTGCATAGAAGGTATTCGAGTTTAACAAAAGAAAAACCATATGAAAGTATTTTTCAAAAATAATCGAAAATACAAAGTACAAATAAGTGCAGGAAAATTTTTGTGACAAAAGGAGCATAAGTATGTGTATGTATAAATGTACATATACGTAATATATATACATATCTCTCTCTCTCTATATATATATATATACGTAGATATGTATATATATTTGTATATAAATCTTAAATGTAATTAAATACTACTACTGCTCTAATTCTATATAACATGAATTTTTATAGGTATATATATTATATATATATATATATATATTATTAAAAATTTCAATATCATTATATGGATTTTTTTGAATTTTATAATGAATTAATTTGACTAGCATTACCTAAGCAATCTCAACACTCACATATGCTTATATGAATAGATATGTGTAGAAAGGTTTGTCATTTCACTTCAAATTTCTTTTCTAATATTAACTTCTTGCCATTTGCATCAAAATTGCATGCACTCTTATATGTTTTCGATTATGACTGGTGGCGACATTGTGCAATCAGCTGGATCATACATGTAAATACTAGGGACCCACAGACCTAAAGGGGGTGGTGGTGTCTTGCCTTTGCTTTTATTGTCAGATTTCCAAGGCAGCGATTTGCATTTGCTTTGAGTTTGTTGCTCTTGCTTGCATAACATATTAATAACTTCATCTTCATTGGATGGTTGGGCTACCAAAGCCACCTTATGAGGTATAGTGACGTCTACATTGGTAATGACTGCCGCCTCATGCTTACAATTGTAATAACGATTTGTTAGGTAACCATCCACGTAAATCTTGGAAAAAAGAAAAGCACTATTAATATGATATTTACGTGGTGTGCGTTTATGGGTTAATACACAATTAATACTCTAGTCGTTTATATAATACTCTAGTCGTTTACGTAATACATTATAGTCTAGTCGTTTAGAATGTTTGATGACCTATAAAGTCGTCTATACATGCCCGACAAACATAAAAGATGTGTCGCCAGTATGTGCGTCCTAATTTTGCAAACGTGGCACTGTAATATTGCCAACAACCGCAATTGATATTTGAGAGTTCTTCCTGAGAGGAAGAGGTACGCCTCTCATATAATGATCTTTGCTGCGCAATGGTGTTACCGGCATTAGTACGATCGCCTTGCTACTTTATCTTTTGTAGGATCTTTTCGGTACCTTGAAAATATCTCACATATTGACGTGCAAGAAGTCAGCAAATATGTTAAGAAACGCGCTCGTGCGGTTAAGGGTCGAGCTGATAGCTAGTGAGACATAGTCTAACCCAATGCACCGTTTAAACGCTAAATTTCATTTTATTTACCTCGTAACCTGCCACGCCTGTGCTATCATGGATGTTCCACTTCACATAAAGTGAAGTAGTACCCAAATCAGTGATATCGGTAATCGTTACAGGGAAACTTTCACGTGAACATAATGTCGGCCTAGGCATGCACAAGTCCTGAAATGTAAACACAAAAAGGTTCTAGCCAATTTTTACATTTAATTTAATCTTCGATTGATGTACCATTTCTGCTTGACGTTTACGACGCGCATGCTCCATAGAGTCCAAATCTACTATAAGCGAATCAACAAAGAATTTCTGTTAATTTAAGAATCAAGATTATCCGTATGATTTAAAATTAAATATGTTTTTACACGTTTACCAATTCGTCATCATCATGGGTTTGTGGTGATGGCAGCGCTATTTCTTTCTGACCTGGTGCTGGTGGTGGTCCTGGCGGTGGTTCTGGTGGTGATTCTGATGGTTCTTGCCCCATGCATTTTGATGGATCTAAGCCATCACGAATGGAACGGCAATGACAACAATCGCATTTTTCCTTCCTCCCCTTTTTCTTTTTGCGACGTTCGTCCATCATTTCTTTCAATAATTCGCATTCTTCATCGTAATCCTCACACTCCACTCCGTATTCAAACTCGGAGGGGTATTCTTCGAGTACATAACGTCCATCACCTGCGCCGCTACCATCCATGCACGTGCATTCACCGGGTGCGCAGGTACAATTTAAAATTTTTCGAATGTCTTTAAATGGTATTTCTGAAGGAGGAGGTATTTCTGAAGAGATCTCTCCATACACCAGATCACCTTGAGCTTTCATACCTCGGTCTTCCGTTTCTCCTTCTAATTCTAATCCTTCCGATAGCAGCTCATTTCCGGTACTCATAAGCATTGGCACGAAATCCTCATAAGCCGACTCTAATATTGCTTCGGTTGGACTGCTTCTTTGTTCTGGAACGAATTCTTCATATTCCACTTTATCGATTCCGTCGCCTATACCCTCTTCTACGATGCTTTTCTCAGATTTTTCTTCTTTATCTTTTTCCGTTTCAGAATCACCGTCGCAGCCACAGTCTGGAAATATGTCCTCAGACTCAGAAACATCATCGTAACAGCAGCCATGATAATATTCTCCATCTATGACCGTTATTTTCTGTCCCCATACGGGAGGCTGATTTTCAGTAAGTTCCATGGGCAACTCATAAAGGGCATATTCTTGATAACTTGCGCAAGGGTCAAACGATTTCTTATCCTACAATGAATTTAAAGACTTATATTAATGATTTCAACTTTGTTTTACAAGGCCAATGTATATATATACCGCCATGCTGCCTTCTTCCTCACCCGCTAATGACTGCTTCACAGTCGACGTTGCTTCGTCAATTAATGATTGCTTTATGGTCGACGTTGCTTCATCAATTCGATCTAATAATGGTTTGCTTGATGTCGTTTGACACATCTCCTCCATAGCACTAGACGATAGCTTGCTTGTTGTTGCGGCAGACGCTGCTTGCTCCTCCTCCGCTGTTGGTTGCTTACTTGTTTCTATGGCTGAAGTAGCTGTTCCCTCCATTGCCGCCAATGCTTGCTCACTTGCTGCTGTCATTTCAGATGTTTTTTGCTTGATTGATGACAAAGTTTCACATAGACAATAATCTTCTTCCAACTCCAATTTCAAAACTTTCTCCACGAGACCATGTACAGGGCAAACATCTGTTGATTTTGCACATATGCATATATCTACAAATTTCAAAATTTTGTCAACGGGGCCATGTGTAGGACAAATATCAGTTGGCTTTGGACATGTGCATAAGTCTTCTAGTTTCAAAATTTTTTCAACTGGGCCATGTTTAGGGCAAATATCTGTTGCTTTTGGGCATACGCATAGATCTTCAGAAGATGGAGTGCATCTATCTTTTATTATTTCATAGGAATGTGTTTCCACATCATTTGAGACTACCTTGGCTGGCTCGACTTCTACGCAAACATAATCTTGACGGTCGCCTGTCGTGGATGGGGTATAGTCGGCTCCAGGCGATTCTAAAGGATGCGGAATTGCGCGCAAACGGCTTACGGTAGACGATTGAGTTGATTTTTCTTTATCCAATGCGCTCGAAGTCTTAAGAGCATTGGTTATGCGGAATGCTTCTTCTCGTATTGGGCTGTCTTCATTAATTAAATGCACTACCTCATGCAGTAATTTGAGAATATAAAGATTTCGTTCAGATTGACTTACTTGTCTTGGAAATTCGCAGGGCTCCAATGTCTCGATATAACATGGTTCGGTTGCTACGTCGTTTTCGGATTCATCCGAACTAACACAAGAATAATATTGTTCTACAGAAGAGCTTGAATATGTAGTTTGCGTCTCTACAGTTTCCGGGCATGGACAAGGAAGCATTTGCAGGCGTTGTTTCTTTCCCTTTTTTTTAAATCCACTAGGAGAAATCTGTAGCCTAAAATGAACGGGAAAGTCTTCCAAAAAAGCAGAGCTCGAGCTGGTGTGAGCTCTCACTCCATAGCAACGAGTTGAAGAGGTGGGAGCTGAGATACTGGTCGACTCTGTAGGTGGAAGCATTTTCAAACAATGCATACACTGGTAGATAGGTTTTGATGGTGGTTCAGCGACTGGTGCAGAACGTGGTGGGGGGAGTGTACCGCCCTCTTGCGCGGACTCTGCTGTTGGAGCGAAATCTTCTTCTCTTCTTATAATAGGTCTTCCGTGCAATGGTCTTGATTGTTGTTCAATCCACGATTCGCTAGGGTCTAGTCTAGGATCACGAGGGGGCATACCGCCCTTTATTGCTGATTCTAATTAAAAATTAAAGAAATACAATACACTTGTGCAATAAATTGTGGGATAGTTGCCTACCACTACCTCCCTCCACCAACCAAGATCTTTGAACATCTATTTGCTCTCTGCTAGGAATTCGCGGGTATATTTCCTTCGTCCCTGATCCTGCTGCTATGTAAAGATAAAGCAGTAAATACCAGAAGCAAATTAAAGAATGATAATTTCCGTACCGTCCACAATTTCCCAGGATCCAGGCGCGCCCAATCTCTCTCTGCGCGGTGCCGTCCGTGTTCCTGTTCCTGATGCTGATGCTAAGTTATAAATAAAAATAAACATTGCATTAAACAATGTATTACAATTTTTTATCACCCTATCTATTTGTCTTTCTGTAATCCAAATAAAAGAAGAAAATGTTTTTGAAATCAAATAGTTTATTAATTTTTATATTCTTCATTATACAAAGCGCTAGAAAAAAATTTATCTGACGACCCTTTTAGAGGAGCAACTTCTTTAACATCCTTAAGATATACCACATTTCCTCGGAATTTTTCAAGTAGTACGTCGTTGACATCCCACATTTCGAATCCATATAATTTCAAATGTTTGGCTTCCGCTATCTCTCGGCAGGGACACGCATCAAAGTAGGATATTTGACTACAGTCTGAGTTAATTTTAGCAAATGTCGTAAAAATTGTACCTCGTTCTCGACATTTGCAGACTTTAAATTTGGAATGCTTCAGCGCATCCTCCATGCTAGGAGTGGCTCTAGGTCTCCACGGACATAGGCAGCATCCGCAGTTGCCAGGGCAAAAAACTCGACCATCTTGATCGATTAAAGGGCTCGGTTCGAAGCGACACTTCCGACAAATCTCAAGGTCACTATGTTGTGGAAAGGCAAGGCGATAAGTTTTTCGTGGTGGCTTAGGTGGTGGCGCAGGTTTAATAGACATCTTTGGAATATTGCAAGCACACCTACCATGAGATGCTTCAAGTGATTCTCGATTTTTATCATAAGCTAAGAATTGCTCCAAATCTTGTAAATTTTCTAAACTAAGATGATCTCTACCACATTCACACAGTTCTTGTTTATTCTCAGGCTGAACATCCCATATGCAAATATCTGGATATTGCGGAAGACTACGCATTCTTCTTTCAGGATACTTTCCAATTTTACTGGGTATTTCACCCTCACCTGGTTTTTCATCCCTACGGGATATGTCAGCTCCCCTACGCGGTTCATCACTAATGGGTCCTTTATAACTACTAGGGATTTCAACTTCACTTGGTTTTTCATCCCTACGGGATATTTCAGCTCCACTGCGCGGTTCATCTCTAATGGGTCCTTTATAACTACTAGGGATTTCAACTTCGCTTGGTATTTCGCCTTTGCGCGGAATTTCACCTTTGCGGAGAATTTCACCTTTCCTGGGAATTTCATCTTTACTGGGAATTAAAGCTTCACTGGGAATTTCACTTTTAGCGGACATTTCATCTACGGCGTTTATTTCTCCTTTACTGGTGATCTCGCCTTTGCTGGGCAACTCAACTTTACTGGGCAAGTATTCTCTCTTAGGCATTTCATATTTCATGAGCATTTTACCTTCACTCGGTACTTCGGTCCCAGTGGGGACTTCGCCTTTACTGCCGGCCTCAACTTTACTTATCAGTTCACCTATATCGATTATTTCGCCTTTACATTCAGGTGTCGGTTTTTTTTTTTTAGGCTTTGGTGGAGGTATTATTTCTTCAAGCGTTGAAGCGGAGAGCTTTTCTTCGAAAGCAGCCTCGCTAGCTTTTTCTGCAGTAATTGCCTTTTCATATTTACATAGACATTGTGGCAACCCGCATTGTTGGCATATTGTTCGACTCATTTGGAGATCACTCGGTGATGTAGACCCACATTCACATATGTCTGTTTTTTCTCCACAAAGACAACAAACTTTTCTAATTTGTTCACAAGTACACTTATCCGTTGTTGCAGCGCCACATTTGCAAAATGATTTTAGAGTTGATGGTATTTTTCTACAGGTGCATATGTCTCCTGCTAAAGCGCAGGTATTGCAAAGCTTTGCTAAAGCTGCAGCAGAAGGTGCTTTAGATGTTTGGGGTCTCTCACATTTGCATTTATCTATCTCGCACAGACATCCTTTGCAAATCTTTTGAGCAGACCCTAAATCATATTGCAGCAATTTTCCACAACTGCAAACGTCCGCTATAAATGGCATCGTAGAACATAGCATAATTTCTTCACACTTCTTACAAGCGCCTTGTTGCAGAAGCTTTCCACATATTTTACACACTTTTCGAACCGGTTCAATGTCAAAGGTGCATATTTCCGGTGTAAACTCATTCTTGGAGGCTACCGACATTGATTTCTCAGGTTGATTAAACGGTTTCTTACAAATTCCGCAAAGTTCAGCTATAAGATCGGGATTAATTTGCCCCTGTTTTCTACAGCAACAGGTTTTTCCGTTATTATCTAATATGTGAGCAGCAAATTCTTTGCTGGCGTCAGAAACATTTAAATCTTTTTTTTGCTTGATTTGCTTTTGACATACGCATCTGTCACAGACAATGCCGCACTTCTTGCAAAAATTGACGATCGGTGCAAGTTCAAGCGATTTCGGTTCCACGTCTATAGTAGGAGATTGTAGTTGCGGTTCACTACTTTTACCGAAACCAGACGATTTGGTCTTTTCGCAAACGCATTTACCAATACGTTTGCCGCAGGCATTGCAAGTTTTTACTGCACGTGGCCGATAACAAATGCACCTATCCCGTTTAAGACCACATGTAATACAAATCCTTTTGTAACGTTTTTGATGCATATCAGATTTAATCCGACCGGCTTCTCCAGATGAACGTAAAAGTTCCGCGCTGTGAACAGAGGTGGAAAAATCTTTATAGAAGTCTTCTCTTTTAATGCATCGGCATTGCCCAGGCACTCTCTTACACAGCAAGCACACCGATGCACTCTGTACAGCCAAAAGAATATCTGTAGTGCGCATTCGTGCACATTTGCACATTTTCGCTTTTTTACCGCAAAACTTACAAATCGCCGGTACCTCACAAACGCACGGACTTTGATGGCAGATCTGGCAATAAATTTCACTAGAAAATGATTGGCAAGAATAAAACACTTCATCTGCTACTTGAGCTAGATCTTTTATTAGTTCAGATGATTGTGCTGTCGGAGTTCCAACTTTTCGTTGGTCTTCAGATTTTTCCAGCTCAAGGATTTGTGCTGACTGGCTACCATGTAACGACTCACACGAATGAAATGTATCTATTTCCCTTTCACTCTCTTTGCAAGAGCAATATCGATTATCGACTTTGTTTCTTTTTGATTTCTTGTGGCTTCTAAGTGCTTTGCATGGAAATTGAATTGTAGCCTTTGTCGTTCCTTCCTTATGTCCAAGACTGACTTTAACTGGCACTATGAATTCCAAGGCTTTACCCACCGCTAGGTCATCGCTTCTATTTTGACAATAATAACAATAGGGCACCTTGCTATGATGTGTATTTCGACCCTCCAGCAAGTTATTTGTCTTAAGCCTTGGGCTGCGCTTTTCAAGAGATCTCAAAAATCTTCGAGCTATATCAGTCACCTGCGCTAAAGAGACTTCTTTTGAAGTTTCTCCCTTTTCTCCCCTTTTGATACAAACATTTTGTAGGCACCATTTACTTTTCTCACTCAGGGTATGTTTTAATTTACAATCTCCAGCCGCCGCTTTCAGACACCTAAGCAAATTACGGGTCATTATGTTCATATCGGATAGTGTTGCGCGAAACTGTTCAGGACTTTCCATATTGTTATAAACGTCTTGCATACTAAAATGCCTATTTCGGCGCCTCTTTCGAGGTGTGTCACTAATGCAATCACAGAAGGTTGTATACTCACTGGGAGCGCTGCCTTCATCCTTTGAGCCACTGGTTTTTAGGTAAGCAGGACATGTTTCACGAGTGCAGCACTTTCTTGCCTCCATACTTCAACCACAAGCAACTCGACAAATAATTTAGATTTTTCGAGGCGTTTGTGGATGAACCGTTGAAATTTCAAAGAATTATTTAATTTACTGTTTGATGTAATACGGTATTAAAAATCGATTTGAAGCAAAAAGACTGAAAATTTTTGACATGAAGAATAAATGCTTCGTACTCAAAAGTTTTAAAAAAACTATTTTTTTTTCTTTTTAGTTGAAAATTAGAAAGGCGAGAGTGCTCTGATCATTTTATAGAAAGAAAATTTCGGCATAGTCCGCCTTCTATTATTTTCTTGTTCGGCAGAGTATTTCTTTCACATGTGCCATGAGTTTTTTTAGTAAAAATTTTATGACGAATTTCGTTTGCGTTTACATGCAGAAAATGAAATCCGAAATAATAAAAAAGTTTAAATCGTCCGATAAATTAGCATAATTTTCGTCAAAATTTGATTTCGCGGATTATGCACCTCACTTACTTCGCTAAAAAAGTCTACGGAAAGTTTGATAGACGGATAGATATTTCGATTCTGATAAACAAACGACCTTGATTTAGTGACTGCTCCTTACTAAACATTCCTGGAAACGTGACCAGATGCACCTCTGTATATCTTTTCCCAATATAGTATTATTATTATTATTATAGATTTAGCCAGAGAATAATTTCTAAGCCTAAAGTCTTAAAGCACTAGCATCTAAGGCTTTCGGCTTTTCCCAATATATTTAATAAATAGAATATACAAAATTGGCTTTAATTTAAACAATTAGAACGACGTTGACTGAAATAGGGTTTATTAAAAATAGAAGAAGCAAATTACATCCACTTCAAATTCGAATTTCGAAAGTGTGACAAAATCTATATTTTATTAATAAAAGAAAAAAAACGAAAACAAGAAAACCATATTAGTAACGCTATACTATCAAAATATGCGAAAGTACGTTCGTCTAATTGTAGAAAAATTTTGAGGGTTTCGTTATTTAATTTGGATTTGCGCTACTTCTGAGGACTCGGGCCTTTTCACCGGGTAGTAAACTGTACAATAAAACTCTGATTCCATTTTCCTGTTATGGAAAATCATAAGGCTTTCATTCAATTTCTCTTCGAGTTGCTTTAACATCTGAGAATTATAAAAGACAAGTTAAGCAATTAATAATTCGTTATTCCATAAGTTAAGCAAACTATACAAACCGGTATATCAGTTGGCTTGAATAGTTCATGTAAGAAATGCATGCATGACATGGCATTCACAAAGTCGTCATAGTTTTCTAATGATATGTTTTTCGGGTCTTCGGACTTAAAAGCAGCAAAAGCTGCCAGTATTTCTAGCCCATCGCGAAATTCTCTATTTGTCTTCCAGTACTGGCAAAGCCTCATATTAAATAGATTCGAGCTATACTGGGAACGGGGAGCAGACGCTTTTAACATGCTTAAGAAACAGCGAATATGAGCCGGTATGCAATCCATTTGCCCTTGTACCGCGAACTCGTCATTTACCTGAACACTACTGTCTGCTTTTGCAACGAAAGTCTCAGTCGTCGTGCCTACCGTTTGATTTATTATCTCCGTCTCAGTGGAAACGTCCACTTTTTCGGGCGGCTCAAGGGCTTCTTCACTAATAGAATGAAAACTCTCATAAGACAAATTGCGTTGAAGTACTTCGGACTCGCAGATGTCTAAATCAGAAGCGTCTTGAAATAATGTCCCGGTTTGGCGAGCATTAATACAGGATACAATACGTCTTAGCCGAGCATTTAAGCAATTGACTCTTCCGCGGATCATGCGTCGTTTTATGCTGCGCCTGTTGTGTTTCTTCTTAATACGTCTTGACGAGCGATCGGGATTTTGTAAAAGAGCTTCAACTTTAGGTATAGCAGGAGCCGTTGAAAGTTTCCTTAACTCGGAGGGCACTTCACATATAACTTTTTTACTATCATGTGAGCAAGAAGGCAGAAAGTTCTCGTCTATAATAAATTCGGGTACAAGAGCAATTCCTACAAATGCCTCAACCCTCCCTCCTCCTCTACCATCCTCCTCCCTACCACCTTCTTCTCTACCGAATCCTTCCCTACCACCTTCTTCCCTAACGTCTCCTTCCCTGACAACGTCTTCTCTACCACCTTCTTCCCTATTCTCATTGTGATTCTCATCTTTTATTTCCTCTTTCTTCAGTTCAAGGGGTGGTATATCGCCTTCTGGTAATTCATTTGGTTCTTGTTTTATATTTTCTTCCAGAGAAATATTTTCCTCTGATTTCACATTTACATTGGTTTCATATGGCCTCAATTCACTCATATCGATTGATGCACCGCTTCCTACCTCGTCTTCTTCCAGCTTCTGCTCTTGCAACATCCACTTTGCCAGTCTCGATACTTCTGTTGCTACTTCGCTAAATTGTTTCACCTCGGGTGTGGGATTTTCACAATCCTGAAAATCCATAAATAAAACATACGGCTCATAAAAGGAAATAAAAAATTGCTACTTAGTTACCTTCATATTATGTAAAGCTTTCTTCAAGAATCTATTTGCTGTTTTAAGGTCTTTGATTTTATCGCGTTGTAAACGTCTTGAAGATGTATCGCCCAATTCTTCAGCTAAACTATCAGCTTCTGTACGTTGTATACGTTTTTCTAGCCTCTGAACTTGTTCGTCCTTGTTGCGTATTTCATCAGTTAAACATCGTGTTCTATCCTCATAGTCGTGAACTGTGTTTTGTAGAGCTAAAACTTGTTGTTCCAAAGTAGAAACTTCTTCTTTCAATTCTGCGTTGGTAACATCTACATGCAAGAACTCTTTTTTAATGTCATGCAGCTGGGAGCGCAAACAATCGAGTTCCGATTTATTTTGATTTTCTGTTTCTTGTTGCAATCTGGTCAGAAAAGATAACTCGTCAATCAAACTTTTATTACGCTTCTTCTCTTGATCGAGGGCATCCAAAAGAGGCGTCTGATTGTTTAATGTAGCCTCGTGTTGCTCCTTTAGTTCTTCTAATTCTCCTAAGAGTTGTTTATGATCTTCGACAAGTTCTCTATGCTCCTTCGTTACGCGCACCAAGCAAGTTTTCAACCCTCTTTCAGCTTCTTCTAGTAAGCATATTTTGTCATTAGCTGATTTGGTGTCATCTTTTATGCAGTCTTGTAGCTTTTGTATTTTTTGTTTGAGACAAATCTCTTTCGCTAAGTACTGATCTTCACGTTCTTTGTATTGACGCTCTAGTTCCACCCAGTGGCAATCTGCGCTTTCCATTGCTGCATAATGACGTGAATTCATTTCTTTCATTTGGTGTCGCAAACATTTCACTTCTTCTCTAAGATATTGTAGTTCATGCTCTTTATTGATGCCGCATTCCGCATCTTTACGTGTTTCTCCTCCGGGGAAGCGTTTGGGAATATGTGATGAGCCGTTTTCTTGCGACATTTTACTGCCCATAACCTGGTTATCGATCGGAATGGAGGAATTGGTTGCACCAGCACTAGCAGATTTTTCAAAGAACGCTAAGGTGCTGAGTGAATTGCTTAACAATAATATTGGCAACAAGTTGTGCAGAAATTCAAAATTCTCTTTGGCCTTTTGTTTATCTTCTTCTAAATGCCTTATTTGCGTTTCGCTGGCGGCTAAGTCGTCTCTTAGTATTAGACACTCTGAATGACAGTCTTTGTATTTGGCACTTAACGCTTCTCTGGACACATCTAACTCCACATTCCTTTGGCTAAGTATTTCCAATTCGACTTCGAGTCGTTGGAGTCGAAGTCTTGTATCGTTTTCGGCTTCTTCGAACTCGCACTTCTCCTCTTCAAGTATCAAGTTTTCTTGCAGCAAAGATTCAACACGGTCTTTCAATTCCTTAACCTCCTTCCCAAGTTGAATTTCCCGTTGCAAACGGTCTGCTAAACGTTTAGTTTGAATGTCTCCTGAACTCTCATACACAAGAATTTTGCCCTCGAGCAACGTTAAACGATCTTGATAATACTGAAGTCGCTTCTTATCGCTGAGATTAGGCGAAAGCTGTAAAGCGGGTGTTTTGTAATGCGCTGGATTGGAAAATTGTGGATGAATAAATTTCACAGGACTACTGACTAATGATAATCTATCTTCGTAATCAGTTTGAGTGCCTACGTGATTATCGCCGTTATCGCTCAAAAAATCTGCTTCCACGAAAACTCCGCTCTCGCTGAGGCTGTTGCTTTGCCACGGTTGATGATATCGAATCTTACGTGGCGAATCTGTAGGTGTATTGTGCGGCACGAAGGATTGATTGCTGTTAAAGTTGGAGTTGCTATTGTTATTGTTATTATTATTGTACTGATAAGGTGGTGTACTATGATAAGGTTGTACGGTAGCTATGATACGCGATTGTGCTGTAGAAGTGTTAGATTTCGATGATGTCGCGTGTTGACCGTTATCTAAAATAGAACGCGCACTGGAGGACGTTGATGATCCCGAACTGTAGTCGGAACTACGCGATTTGACCTTTAATTTTATAACAATACGCAATTAAAAAAGAAATCACAAAAATATGAACATTAACGTTTCTTTTATTGAAATAATTTTGAAATGTATTTTAAATTAAAAGGTATAAATAATATAAAAATGAGTTAAAAAATATACGCAACTAGATGAGCCAAAAAGGTAAAGGGTGTGAAGATAGAAACTTACCAAATCTAAACTATTTGTTTCATCGCTACACGAGGAAGAGGCATTTAATGAAGCTGGGCCGCTCTGAGGTGTGCAAGACATCGCAAATTGTTGTATTAATGTTAAAACTTGTCGCAAACATTCCGTATCGTCTTCTTCCAGGCAATTACTTTTCAGAATATTGAGGATACGATGGTAAATTTCTTCGTGACAAACGCTATACAATGGCGTTACTAATTCATCATTATCACGATTACGTTGACTACTTTCGGGCGACAATGTACCCGAATCCGATTGGGTGTTAACCGCATTCGTAATCGAACTATTGCCGAATAACATTTCGAAAGGATCAGCTTTAGCTGATGGGTTCTGCAGTGTAGAACACGACCAAACGCTTTTGCTGCTGTTTGCTGTGATAGGCGTGGGATCATTCGTTGTGTTGTTGGCATCACTTTGCAGCGACCACTGAAATATATAGAAGAAGCAGTGCTTATTTCATTTTCCACTGTATAAAAAACTAATAACTAATAAATTGTTTAACCACCGTACTTGTAAACAATATCCGTATACAATTTTTTTTCAAACTTCATATACAAATTCAATGCATTAGATGTCAGTGGTGGAATTGGAAAAATATGTTTTTTTTTATTTACTAAAATACTTTCTGTTAATTACTTCGCCTAGTGTGGTTGGTCTATGAAGTGGATTTTCAATTTTGATATCTTCTTGTTAACAATTAATTGGAGGCTAATTAAATGAAATATGTACGCTTGGTTAATTTTATGTCGAGCAAAGCAAAAGGAAAGAAAAGCAAAAAAGAAATTATAGTCAGCATCGACCGAATCTCTGGATACCCAACGTGCTTTCCTTTCTAATATTTTAATAAATATATTTTGGAGTTAAAGAAGATTGTAAACGTAGTTTGTTAGCCTAAGAAGTGAAATTCTGGCCCTCTCTCACTCTTCTTCTTTGTCAATACATAAACAGTGCTTATACTAAGCCATGACAGGGTATATTTTGCTGTTTAATAAGGGTAATAACCATTATCGAAGCTATTTGAAAGTAAATACGTTGTGTAAGCCGGCTCTTTATCTGAGCCGAGAGATCAAACTTCAGGAACATTTCTTGTGAGTCCACTTTATTCTTAACAGCTCAAGCTACACAAATTTTTAGCAGATTTATTGTCGATCCCAACGTTTGCATTTATCTACGAGGCAAGTAATTGGATGTTTTTTTAAACACCAGATTTAGTAAACCTCGTCAATTTTGCGCGTATATTTTGTGATAGACACTGTTGCAAAAATTAAGAGAGGGAGCAGTTATTTGGTACAAACGCTTCTAGATCGATTAGCAATGCGATGGCAAAAAAGCGATGTGATTTGTTCGCAGACACAGCCACGATGGGGAAGAAACCAAAACATCTCCGAAGAACACAATTTTTGCATATTTTCGTCTTTAACTTTCGTTCCAACTATACAGGTACTTGAGAGATATTTTCTTCGAGAAAAGCCTTTCTCAAATAGCAAGTAGCATATTCCAACAGTTTTCTTTCTTTAGTTTTGAGCCGGCTACACTGTCTGACGCAGTACCTTTTGAATCCCGACGAGAAAGGATCGGGTGTGGCCTTATTTAATATTTTTAAAAACAGTTTTCTTTGAATATCCTTTTGTTTATGATCAAGCGTCAGGATATGTTTTCTATATGTGTCGGATGATGACTGTCAGAAAGAGGTGGATGGAAAGGGCTTGACCTTGGCCGTAGCCCGGAAGGTGTTTGTTTAAATATGCACTTAATTATCTTTGCAAATATTCTTATTCTATTAACTTTCCTTACATTCCAAAACAATTGCGGTAAATACGCTGCTTTTAAACTTTTACAGTGATTTTACCTCTTAAATGTAAGTATTCTTGATATCTTTAGCCATAATTTCGAAAAGACCATGAACATAATGGTAGACAATACGAGAATAGTCTTAGTTTGTGTAATTATTTGTGAAGCCATTATAATCTGGTTTCTAAACTTAGCTAATGTGCGACTTCCTATAACATATTCAATGAATACGTTGCAAATGGACATGGGCTCTATTTCGCAACCCAAAAATAAAGGGCTTAGTGGATATTAGAAAACTTGACCTAAGTGGAAAATGGTTCCTTATTTCTTTTCTCTTTCAAAGCGTGATTGAAACAGCTGTTTAGAGCGCTAAATTTTCACACTAAAAAGCAAAGGTGAAGATGGCATGTACTGAAAAGCCATGTTGTTCCTTCCGCTGAACTTGAAAAAAATTGTTCAAGTAGATTATGTTCAGCTATGTACTTGAGAGTTTTGCCAGCGTCAGATAGTTCCTTAACAATTTCAGTGTATCCGTACAAATAAATATTCAGTCAGTCAGTATTCGTTTTTTAAAAAAAAGGAAATTCCGTTCTTCAAATGAATTTTTTTTTATTTTAAGACTGCAAGATTTACTAGATTAGATATAACTAAATAAATAGCTATACTTTCTTGTCCAACTATGTTAAACTCTATAAATAAGCGTTTTTTAACTAACTTCTTAATAATTATTTATAAAATGCGATATAACGCGCTAGAAGTTGAAACGACTTCAGAGTTGGGCTTAAGGACATTCCGAAGGGTTATTCATTTTACGAATTCGGTGAAAACAGTTTTCAAGATTTACAATTTAAAAATTGAGACACCAATGTCATTAAACTGCTGTTACGAGTATGGATGTTAAGAGTAGTCGCATCAAGAAAAAGAAAACAAAAAGTTTACATTAATATTCGAAGAATATTTTTGTTTAAAATAAACAAATCCCTTTTGTTGACACAAAGATGTGCAGAATCTTATCTTAATGGCATATAACGAAAAAAAATGTGAAAAGTATAGATAATTATTAAGCGTTTTAAACCGCTTTCAGCGTAAGCTTTGCGAAGCTGAAACGTTAAGAAACACTGGAATTAGTTGTGCGGCGTAAACTATCAAATAGCGAAGTAGTTCAGAAGCATGACTCGCGCTCCTAGTGCAATAGAACACACATTAATTACAATCAGCGTAAGGTCGTAGTGAGTGCTCGGCGGATACTTCTTATGCTGCGGTCAATTCTCGATCACTCTCTCTCTACTTCTTTCTTATAATCGCCATAAACATGTCTGCAGATGATAGGCCCAAAATGATTGGTTATTTCAAGAAATCCTAGTTTAAAAAATAAATAAACTAAAAAAAAATTAATTGGGAATAAGAAATGGCTCATCGCTATACAAATTTGTTACAGTTATTATTTCCAACCTACGATTACTTTCAACCAAAAAAAATAAAAAAAATTAGTAAAACCCTTTATAGTTACATAATAAGTATAAACTTATAAGTATATTCGAAAATGAATGAAGACGCAATCCAATGGTTTGTTTATAAATTGAAAATGAACCGCGACGCAACCAAATGGTTGTGTTTATAAATTGAAAATGAACCACGACGCAACCAAATGGTTGTTTATGATATGCAAATGAACCCAGACACAACCAAATGGTTGTGTTTATAAATTGAAAATGAACCGAGACGCGACCGAATGGTTGCGTTTATAAATTAATATGAACCGAGACGCAACCAAATGGTTGTTTATAATTTGAAAATGAACCCAGACGCAACCAAATGGTTGTTTATAAATTGAAAATAAACCGTGACGCGACAAAAATAATAGAGGTTACGACAAAAATAGCAGAGCTTACGACAAAAATAATTGAGCTTGCGACTAAAGATGATCACTACCCTCACAATGTTCTTTAACAATGTAAGCCAACAAAGTCAATTTCGGGTAATTGCCAGCATTTTTAATTACACGAGCGAGTGCACGTAATCTATTCATCGCACCCCAGAATAAGAAAATATTAAGGTGTCTCCTATTTGCTATTTTATTGTTTTTATATTTCTTTGATAATTAGTTTAAATTATTGGGCGACTTTTTTCTTTATTTAACATAAACATTTACAAATGGATTTTTCTTTCTTTGTTTCTGGAAAATTGGTTTCTTCAAAGAGAGGACTTGGAAATTTATAAGTATAGATATGTGACCATAGGTAATATGATATGGATAGGACGTGTAGAAGAAAGAAAACGAGAGAAGAATTTCTGACAACATCAGAACCAACACAGACTGCGAGTTGAACGGCTAGAGGGGACACGTTTTCTTAGTGATTGGCTCGTTTATGAAAATTCTTCGTTTTTCTTGCTGTGAGTACGACAAACGTAAGCGCAGTTTATAGATCCGTAATTTCGTATTTTAATTTCTATAGTTGAGCAAGGACGACAGTTTCAGATGGAGACAGTGCGTTAACTTCGAATCCTTTCCAGGATTTCCCCGGATTGGGAATTGAATTACCACATGCTCGTCCTTATGGTCAAGCGGAATTGCTTAACCGTAGCTCAGCATCGATGATAGTAAAGTTAATAAAAGTGAGCACCAGATATAGTTTGGACAGAGTTTGACCGACTGTAGACTTTACCTTGAACAACACCATCCAGAGGAATGCTGGTTTCCCAACGACTGATCTTCTTTTCGATGTTAGACAGAAGGGCAGATTAGTTGATTCTTTAAAGAAGGCATTAATGGCATAGAGACCAAAAAGAACCTGGTCAACATATACAAGAAGAAGCTGAGAAGTTTATGAAATGTAAAGATAAAGAATTGCAAGACAGTAATCTTATTTGTAAAGCGTACAATATGAGATGGAAAGGTGTCAAAGGACTCCTATAAAACTGTCAACGTTTTCGCGAACGTTGGATACGTGGCGAGAGAGATGCGGACGGGTTTCAAGTAAGCAGATTCTCTATAAAGGAATATGACAAGCGGCCAATATTAAATCGTTCACCTTTGGTTGAAGGTAAAAAAAAGAAAGAATGATTTAAGGTCGGTATGACCGAGCTCTGGCAACCCTGCATATTTCGGCATTAATGGCTGTATTCTTACCAACATGACAACTAACAAAGTATTTTTTTGTTGTGGTTTTTGTTGCTTAGGAACCTTGCTTTGCAACGAACTTGATGATGAAGGGTTTGACTTTAGCCATTGGTGCGGAATACCAAATCCGATGCAAAGTTACAAAAACAATGACAAGAAAGAAAATAGTTTTCTTTTATGACGATTGTTAATGTAAGTTAGCGTAGCGAGATAATAAAGAGGAATCTAGTTTAAGCGCAACCATAAGTATGAACGGATAAATAAAG